ATGACATTATTCACTGCCACCATGCCCAGAGCTAGAGAGTTAGGAGAAAACATCATCTCAAGGCTGATGATAAATTTGACAGTCTTGGTGCAAAAATCACAGCAAAGTGAAAACAAGTTTTTTGTAGAGATGGACAGACAGTGACTGAAGGGATGCTGAGTGGACTTCCAGCACTCACCTGGGTCTCAGGGCAGAATGAAGAGTCAGTGCTTGTTAAATGCCAATCATGTCAGTGGTATGGGTGAAATAAGTCCATGAAATAAGCCATTATTTCTTTCTGAGGCCTGTCTGCTTATTGAATTAGAAGCTCTTCAATATTTCAAAAGGCTCCAAGAACATTTCAGTATGTAATTTACTAATTCATTTACTAATTACAGAAAAGAGCGAAGAGTTGTCGGCACGGGACACAGCCTGGCTGCAGGCACACGACCCAAATGTGCTCTGTGTCAGAGGACTTGCAGCACAAGGCCAGCAGTGATGTGCACTGAGCCTCAGCCGTGGCCATGGATCAGTGCTTTCTTTACTGACAGCACGTGTTTGTTGGGCTGCAAATCCTACTGCTGCAAGGAAGGGTGGGACACAGCTGTGCCATAGCCGCGCTCACTGCTTTTATAGTTCATTGGAATCACACTGCTGTGTGCCACTGGGTGAGACAGCTGCTATGCAAAGGTTACACCCTGCACACCATTAACATTCATGTGTTTTTCACATGAGGTCACTGACTGCTTGCTCTCCTTGCTGCTCCCATGACATACTGGCTGCTGACAGTCTCATTTTTCATTACTTCCCCCCAGTTTGCAAACTCACTGCCTATTTGACCATCAAAAGATAACAAGTGCTTGCAAGGAATTTGAGCTGCTAGTGCAAGCTGTACAGCAAAGCTGCTGGGCTGCAGGATCCAAGTCTTGAGCCCTGAGATGGTGAACTTGCAGAAAATCAGACATGATAAAAATATTCTTATGTTTGTCTCTGTCAGTCTTCTGCATGGTCTGTATATCCAGGACAGCTGATCCTCTGTCAGACAGCTTCACCACAATGGCACCACTGTATTCTGTCATGCTCAGTGTAATTAAGATAATTAAGAAAGCTATAATGTGATGATTACCAAAGCTGTATAGGAAGCATCATATCATTCTCTGAAAATAAAAATCAATGAAACATGCAACCTTCTCCCAGCACAATGCTCCTGGGAACCAAAAGGAAAAGTCGCATCAAAACCAGGTGCTAAGCAAGCAGAGCTCAGCTTCCATGAGCTCGTTCACCTTCATGTCGTGCAGCACCTCCAAAGCACTGTCCAGCTTCAGGGAATCCATACCCAGAGAGGGCCCAGGTAAGTGATCTGTCTCATCCCACCACCCCAGAGCCAGAGGAGAGCAGAACCCATGCTGCTGGGGTCCCTAGAACTCAAACCAAGAAGGGACAAGGAGCAGTACAGCCACTGATAGATAATTAATGGAATATAGGATTTGTATTTCCACCTCTTGCAAAGAGAAGGCCACGCAGTCTCACTAAATTCAGGTCCCTCAGAGGGCAGCCACACTGCAGCATCAGGTGTGGGAGCAGCTTCACCCACACACACTGATTCCTCCAGGAAATGGTTACCTGGAACACACCAAAAAGAATGAACACTTGGGAAAAGGCCTGGCAGGGAGGCAGTGCTCAGCTATGCCTGTAAGCAGGAGAGTAAAGCAGCTCTAAGGGTGACCCAGTCATTTCCTAGGCTGGTGAACTCAGGGGAAAGTATAATTCAGCCAAGAATGAGCCCAAGCTGAAAAAATCAGAGCATGTGCATTCAACTGTTCTGCATGATACTGGAATATGCATTCAGGTGGTATCGGGTTCAGTGAATGCAAAGGTATTTGATGTGGGGTTCTGTTTCTATATGTGGCCCTGTTCAAGACCTTCATAGCTCTCCATGTGCCTGAAAATAACAGTGAGTTAATGACCTATCTTTTAGGCAGCAAACACTCCAGCAAATGCACTTTATAAATACTTTTTAGACAACAAATGGGGCTGTGTAATATGCAAGAAAAATATAAAGTGCATTTGAAAGTCAACCTAATTGTGGATTTAGAGGCTAAAAATGGCTCTTGTACTGTACTTGTTTAAATCTTTGATTACATTCTCTGCATCTCCAGCAACTAGATGTGATGTTGAAACAGGGAGCTTTGTGCACCCCATTCTGCTGGATTTGGTGTTGTTGAACAATGATGCATTTAGCATGTTTCAGAAACACCACACGCTTGATGTGCTGCTGAGATTAGTCAAGTTAAAGGCAGGACTCTACAGGAATTTTTTAAATTGGGTATTGGAATAGAAGCAACCCTTAAGAGCCATCCAATTGCCTGTGTAGGTGATGCAGCCTAGAGAGGCTTGCTGCTTTTCCCAGGTGTGCTGCTGGGCTCCATTTTTCAAATGACCACCACTTCTGTTTATAGAGTGAGTACAAGGGAGTTGCTTGGAAGAGAACACTGCAGTGTACATAGATTTGAGTCATGAAGTCTGTTAACACATAGTTCCTGGTACCAGCCCCGTCCATTTTATCTCAAGATAAGAGTCTTTGCTCCACCTGTGACAAAGTGACTGCTGTTGCTGTGCTCTGGGTTGACAACCTGCAGTGTGACAAAAGCTTCCACATCATCCCATCACTTCAGCTGCAATCAGACCACAGGAAATTTTGCTTTCCACATTCTGTTCTTCTCCTAAGGTTGCATTTGGGCAGGCAGAACTGCTCCAGCAGCACTGAGCCAGACACAAGCAGCAGCCGGCAGGCCCCCCCTGCTTCCCTCACAGCAGCATAATCCCAGGTAGCTTGCATGATGCACATGAGGATACACACTACCAACCTGATGGTTTGAAATGAGGCCTGGGCTGCTAACTGCCGAAAGTGAATGCGACTGGTGCTCAGCATCCTCTGCAAAGCAGGATGGAGGGGTGTACTCATTCACTAGGAGGTACACTGCTCCAGAAGCAGCCGTCTCGGGCCTGCAGCCCAGGCCTTGCTGGGCATGTAGCAGCACAGACATTGCGTTGCTGGCTCCAGGCCTCTGCTCACACTGAGCATGTCACCCTCCAGGAATGTAGTTGGCGTCTTCTAGAGATTTAATTCATAAAAAGGGAGCTTAATAGGGAGAAAATACATATTAGCTGAGAGAGCTTTAAGCACCAGACAAAGACAGTGTTGATAAATGAAGGGGCAACCAGAGGACATGTTGACATTGTGCTAAAGGCACAAGATCACACAGGTGTGTGCTGACCTGCAGCTGGGTGGCAACATTTTGTGCACCTTCTTAAAAATTACTGGTTTTGGAAAGGATCAACGCTCTGTCTAGTGAGAGCTTGTGCATACTACAAAGTTACCACAGGCTGTTGCAGTGTGGCCAAACTCACAACCAGTTTCTGCGGCTCACTGAGTTGATAGCAGCAGTTCCATTTCAGCCTGATGCTGGCTAACCCAGTGAGAATTCCAGGTGACTTTGGGATGCCTTCATACTTCCTTACAGAAGGTCAATCTAAACACTGTTCACATTTAGGACAAACCTGAATTTGAATTCAGGCTTTGAATTGACATATTCCTCTCTAAACACTGTATCTCCTGTGCATCCCTGGCAAGACATGAATCTGTTCCAGGTCCCATCCTCCTTGTCACTAACTGGCGCGTGCTGCCTATCCTGCGGGGACACTGAAAGAAGCACTGACAGAGTTAAGAAAAAGGCATCTTTCATGAAACTTTTTGAGGTGGTTCATGCAAAATACAGTCAAACCCTGACATCTATATAGAGTGATTCAGGGATCTGCCATCCACAGAAGTAGTAGGAAGAATAAAATTCACCTAAATCCTTAAGCCTGAGCCCAATGATAACTGACCAATAAACAACTCGCCATTCCCTTCTGCAGCATGGTCCCTGCCATAGAAAGGTTGGCCCATGTTTTCACCAAGCACAGAAATAAGTCTTAGGGCATTTTCATTGTCTCATTCATGCAGGTACAGGAATACATCTAAAAGGCAATGCTGCCCTCTGTGATGTCTTCAGCTACTACCACGTGGCTGCACATGCACAACCAGCTACTCCCATCTCAGTACCAGGCATTGAATCAGCTTCAATCAAATGAGATGGAAAGCAGAGCAGCCTTCTCCAAGCACCTGAGCACCCTGTATTCCTCACGAGCTTTAGACAACTGGACAAGGTATTCTGCATTCACTAAGGGCAAACTAATCTACTGTAAGTTATTGTAATTATTTCTAACCTTCATCCACTGCTTTTTCACTACATATATCAGATATTAAGATTTAAATAAAAATCAATATATTCACTTTGTCATTTGTATTAGTAGCATCCAATTTCAAGGATTAAAACCAGATGAAACCAACTGCATTGTTTGTTGAGAAGATAGACTGTGTTTTGCTTTACCTTTATTTTATATAAATATATATAAATATAAATATTTCTTTATTTTGGTGTGTTATCTTTTTGTGAATTCAGTACAGAAATTTCAAGTCAATCATAAGTTCAATGTAATCATTCTGTATGACACTGTATGAGAAATACTTCTAAAAATGGAAATGTACTAACAAAGTATTATCTTCAGATGCCCATTTTACAAAAATATGTGATAGAATTAACAGGAAATAAAGATTATTCCATACTCATACAAGGCATGACTCCAATGCTGGTAATCCCACTGACCACTGGCAATGCTGGTAATCAGATGTAGTTCTACAAATTCTTTTGTTGTGCTCAGTAGGAGTATTTACATGGGCAAATATTGCTGGCATAGTAGGTATAGGTGGGAGCATCGGGGCTTCTCGGATTCAAAGGTTTATTATTAACAAAACACTCATTTGCTTTCACCCCACAAAGTGGTTTCAACTGAACAATCACACCACTAGTCGGAGAAAGGCATACATGCGATAAAGGAGAATGAAAAAGCTCGCTGACGTGCTGATACACAGCTGATAAGAAAAACAAAAAGCCACTTGAAAAAAAAAGCCCACACAGATGAGTTTTAGTTGAAGCCAGAAGCTGCATCTGGACTCTTTTCTCTCCAAACGTCAAGAAGATGTTTCCAACGATGCTGAAGATATTTCCAATTCTAGCCACCCTTGCAGGTAAGAATAACAAACTGATTGAAATAACGCTGAAGTAGAAGAACTTGCTGCAGTAAGACAGCAGGTGACCCTGACTGGCAAACTAGGAGAACATTCAGGACTTATTTCTAGATGTAATGAAGATCATGGCTACACTGACGTGCCATTTTGTCGAAATCAGCAGGATGACCCCTAACTGGTAATAATTTTTTGCTCAAGAATGGAATTTTAGCTTTGGTAAACTAATACTTTGCTTTAGAGCTGAGAAGAGGCAAAGGGCTCACACACACAACGCTTGGGTCCTTCGTGGTTGGCTTTCTCACATTTGCCTTTTGTCTCCCCTTCACAATATGCTGGGAAATGATGCCTTGCATCCACCCCATTTAAAACTTTTTGGGGGATGCTAATCTTAAGCATGCAAATAGTCCTTTGGAATTCCATGAAGTGAGGATGTAATACCTCATGGAATCTAGAAACTATATGGTACACTAAAGATAGTATTTTATTACTGTTTCAAAGACAATGCATTGGGCTAAGCTCTGTTTTTAATATATACAGAGGTGGACATTTTAAATCTAATGAACAGCCTCTAATTTCACTAAAAAAATTGGAAGCTAGTGTCCAACATTTTCTTTTCAAGATGGAATTATCTGTTTGGAAGCCAAATAAATATTTTAAATGGTTGCTCGTGGTGTTTCAGTGCTATCACTCTCACTCCACAGATTTTTGCCTTAAAAGTGAAGAGAAATTCAGCACTAGTACAAATATTTTGCCAGACAATGTGCTCTAATTTCAAGGGTTTGGATTTAAGACCAACACTGTGGCTGTAGCAAGGGAAATCATTGACTTCTGTGGCAGTCAGGAAAAAATCAGTAACTGGTATTTGCTCTGTTAATATTAAGAACTGCATGGGTCTGCAATGAAAGTGAATGATTCTCAATTAACAGCAGCCACTTTTCTTTAATAAGGAAATATTCTCACAGTAATGTTGAGTAAAAGATACAGGCCAGCTATTTTTAACAGTAAGTTATGCCCTGTTCTCACTTGCCTTTTGTAATGTGTAACTTCTTACTCATGCCCTTTTTTCGTTGCAATCAAAAGGCCTGTATGTATGAAATGGGATTATAAGTTTGAAACAGTGGATTAAACACGAAGACAAATTCTCATTAACTTTTGTGGTGTAGAACAGGCTGGGCAGGCCCAGTCTGCTCCATTTTCAGTCAAAAGCACCATCTTAGAATTAGTAGTGGCATTTAACAACCTTGCTGGACGAAGAAAGTTTTATTGGTTTTGGCCTTCAGAACTAAGCAAGCTGTATGTGTTTATTCAAAACATGCAGCTTTATGGAAGCTGGAATCACTTAAGGAAGCTGGAGTCATTTCTGCTAACTTCTCCTGGAAAATATCTGGTCTCTGTAGCACTCTTGATTCTAGAATCAGAGTGATAAAGGAAAATTGAAGTTTTGAGTAGAATGCCATTGTGTGGAAAGACAGCAGCTCCTTTACAATGAAGAACAGAAAATAAACGCACGTAACTGCAACTATTATTGCGGCAAGAAACCATTATCTTCTGTCCGACTTGTTAAAGCCAAGATCAATGAGCTGAGACATCTAAAATAATACTGTATGGCTTTCATATTAGATTATAGTAAAGACTAAGGTATTGTGAACTCACATGACAAGAAGGACTTGTAGATAGCACTGGGATCCCCTCCTTCTCCCAGGCAGGATCCGCTCTGATTTGAATCAGTCTGCCACTCCTGTGAGGCTGTCTTCATATCTAATGTAAATGTCACTGCAGTTTGAGCCTGCTAGCTTTCCTCCTAGCCACCACTGCCATGGAAAGTAGATTACTGACTTCTTTCCAGTGAACTTTTAACTCTTGAAGAGTTCAGACTCTAGGTTGAGATAGGCTTGCATACTGCAAGAGCTGATGAATCTGCGATATTTACATGGTTAAAAATGAAAAAAAAAAAAAAAAAGTCCTTTCTTACACTGTTTTTTCTCATATGGGTGATAATTTGAGTAAAATATTTTTTGATGTCACTGAAGGTTCTGCTTAAACTCTCAGAAGCAGCACCCTAACATAAAAGGCACAGATATTCCATTAAGAGAAGGTTGTTTTCTATGTTTTGCTTTTATCACTGGCAAATATAATTTTTGTCTACACAAAAATTAGCCAACAAGAATTTCTCACCTTGCCCACTGTATCAGAAAAAGCACCAACGACATATATTTTCCACCATGTCCAGAACAGATTCTCCTTCAGAATCTCTAGACAGTAGCCCTAAGACTGGACTCAGCCATCTAGCTAAGACCTAACATTCAGACTTCAATTTTAACTGACAGCTCTAGCTTTGTTGCCTTATGTCACCATTTATAGTAATTTGAACAGAGGACAGAAACAGATAAATACTGTAGAACATCGCTCAGTTCCTGTCATTAACACTGCTCTGTAGCCAAGACTGATGAGAACATTACAGAAAAGAGTTCATCAATTATGTTTAGTCCTTTTCTGCTTAGAGAATGACAGAAAGGGTTGATCAGGTTACCAGAGAATTTCTCACAACTCACATGATAAAAGCATTTCCAAAAATCTCAGTTTGAAATTTGCAAGGTGAATATATTGGAAAACAAAGGGCTTCTGCAAGGAAGCTATAAGAAACCTAAACAAAAAGCAAAGGAGGTTGTGGTGAGGTGGAAGTCAGCCTATTATCCCCAGCAGCAACAGCGATAGGACAAGATGTAACAGCCTTAATTTACACCAGGGGAGGTTTAGATTAGATATTAGGAAAAAATTCTTCTCAGAAAGAGTGGTGATTCATTGGAACAGGCTGCCCAGGGAGGTGGTAGAGTCACCATCTCTGGAGGTGATCAAGAAAAGGGTTGATGTGGCACCGAGGATGCGGTTAGTGGGCATGTGAGGATGGGTTGCTGGTTGGACTAGATGATCTTTGTGGTCTTTTCCAACTTTAATGATTCTATGATTCAAAGGAAATAGCAAAAGGCAAATAGAGGAAATCTGCCGGGCTTCAGCTTGGGAGAAGCCAACAGTGCCACCGAGTCAGAGTCAGTGTAAGAATACGAGAAGGTAGCAGATGGCGAGCCATGAATAAAGATCAGATATCTGAGGAATAAGCGCAAAAAAAGAAGGCAAGAAAGGTGTACAGTAGGCCTAGGGACAGCTGTGAATGAGAGCGTCAGGTTCAGGAGAGCACTGAGTGCAGGGAGGCTGCCAGTGAGAAGGCAAGTCTGTGCATGTGGGAGCAAGCCTGCTTTGTGCTTTGCCAGAACAATATTTGTTTTAAGGGGGCTTGCTATCACTGACATATGCCCAGCAAGCCCAAGGGAGCTGTACTAAAAGCAGAGTGACAAACACCTCCAGGTTCCTTTGGCAGAGCAGGGCCATCCACGCAGTGCCCAGGCTGCCCTGCTGCTCTCCGCTCATGCGCTCACTGCTCACAGGTCGCGTCCACGGAGTTGTGGTGACCGTTCCTGAGAAGACGGTGAACGTCAAGACCGGCGGGAATGCAACCCTTCTCTGCACCTACACGAGTTCTCAGCCGCTGGGAAACTTCTTCATCCAGTGGAGCTTTTACAGCGCCAAAGAGAGCCAACTGCACACCGTAAGATATTTATTTATCACAAATAGAAAGTTCTTAAAAAATTATTACAGTTTGTGCTGTTACCTTCACCATGTCCCTGCATTTAAGACTGAGCTGTAATGAAATCTGGGAGAGAGCACCAAGTCAGCCTCGGCTCCCAGCTCCTTCTGGTGGCCTGAGCTCCTGCTGAAACTTATGAGAAGGTGCCAAAGGGACTCGAATGTTGAATGCCTTGCTCCAAACCACATAGTCAGCGTGACAGGGAGCCAAGTCCAGGTGTCCAGCAATCACACAAGTGCTCCTGCCCTAGGCCAGCTCCCTTTTCTCTTGTCTGGCAGATATTTCCTTCTATTGTGAGGGCTGTTTTCCTAGTGAGACGCCCTTGCCTATGACTACGTGTTCCCCAACCAAGGGTCAGATACAAGCTCCTGGCTCAGCCACCACTGCCACTGCCAGGCAGCTCTGCATGGAGTGGTGCCAAACAACAGACTATTTGTGCAAAGCAAGCGGTCATAGCTTGGCTGGATTCCACAGGAATTTGTGCTAGCAGGAAATCTGCCGCATCAAGCTTGTGTTAGTGTTCTGCAGCATCCCACAAGTATCACTGTGGTAGCAGAACAAACATGGATCAAAGGCTTCTGCACTGCCTGAGGCCCTGAAAGGCAGCAGAGCTGAAAAGTGCTTCCCTGCAGGATGGTAGGAGGAAGTGTCAGCATGGAGACAGCACCAGAACAGTGAGGGACACTGTGAACTATACAGGTTCATGCTTAAACCACTGCTCAAGCCTCCCATGGGGCTTTGAAGGCCTTGTAGAGCAACTTGGTCTGCCTGGAAGGAACCAGTGATGGGGTGTGTGACTTCCTATACGCCACAACAGTGCCCAGAGTTCAAGAGCTATGACTAAATTCAATATTTTGTTGGGAAATGAATCCATGAATCTCACTCACAACACAGCATGCCGGCTGTGAGTTACTGTTAGCTCACCTAGGAAGGTGCTGAGCTCTCAGCAACATTTTCCCTTACAGGCAGAAATGCCTATAGAAGTGCTACTGCATCCTTGAAGACTGTGACTTTCCCCATGCTCTTGTGTCAGGCTTGTGTGTTTCAGATAATTCTTTTTCTTTTCCACTGTACTCATCTTATTGCTAACATTTTCCTACTAAAATTTCAGTCCTGTTTAACACCTGACAGTTGGTATAAAGTTGACTTAGAAGACCGGCACAGTCCACATTGATGATATTCCTGTTATGTTTAATAGTTAATAATATTATGTTAGGAGATTTGCCACCACTGATAGTTACACCTTCTATTCAGTTTACCAATCATAGCAGAATAAGACTGCATGTAATTTGTAGAATGTACAGTACTGAACAGCAATAGCAATTTGAGACAACTGCTTATCCTCCTGCAGTATATCATAGCCACAGATAAAGACTGTATGAGAGATAAGTACAAGCAGTGAGCCCATCCCAAATTCTGACTCTAGCTAAATGCCAGACAGATGCATTCACACCTTCCCTGACTAATTGTATGAATAGCTGTTACTCATCATTAGCTTTTTTCAAGTCAGAACTGTTTTCTTAAATAATTATTCATGAGATGGTGGTAGCTTCGTTCCCCAAGTAAGTTGTATGTCGTATAATATATTATAATTTTGACCCAATACATTGCATTATCAACTGTAGTCACTTGTTCAGGAGTGTATGTTCAGGGAAGTATAGCACCAAGGTAGGATTGAGCTCATATTCTCCAGAATCAGCTCAAGTTTTTGTGTTTACTTGCATTGAATTTTCTTTATTGCAAGACAAAAAAAAAAAAAACAACAAAATACATTTTCTGGTCACAACAGAGAAAAAAAGAGCACGTTGTAGCTCAAAGTATTTCAGAGGGAGCATAGAAGACAGTGTCAAGAGAACCAGGAGGGTAAAACTTGTAAACTATGGCCAACAATGAGAAAATATCCCCTGAGGAATGTAATCGTAAAATACTGTGGGTGGTTCAGAAAATGCTCAACAAGAGTTGACCTGAGGCTACTGTCGGGGAAACCTTGTGGATCAGTCTGCAGTACTCCCTGTTTTAGCAGCTCCCACTGAAGTCATTGGAAAAGCTGTGCCTATAAGGGCTTAAGAATCACTACTGGGAAAAAATGACATCTGTTTTTCTCCCTGTTTGAAACAAATTTCATGCCAAGTTCATTTTTGCAATGCAGAACACGCACACTGGCAACAGATGATCTGCATTTTTGTTAAATAGAGTCAATACAATGGAAAGGCGATGGGTTAGTGGCTAAGACCATTCTCCAAGAAGACAGAGGCAAACCATCCATTACCTGCAGTGCCCATTCTCAGCTCATACGTTCAGCAAGGCACCCAGAAAGCCCCCACTGCCTGCTGGTGTGCAGGTGTGTGCAGAGTTGCAGGACTGGGGTGCTGCTCCTTCACAATGCTTTGAGCATCCTGCTCAGCCCTTTGGTCATATCTTTTTACAAGAACGTGGTAATTCCTTTGCATTTGGAACTTATTCACAGGGAAATTCATCATGTTAGTACAAACACTGGTAAGAAAGTATTGTGACTGCTTGTGGAGTATACTCAAGTAGGGAAATTAAAAAACAATCTCTGTTTCTTCAAACCTGGCTTTGCCCTGGCTGCTTAGTATGCAGCTGAAGTTAAATTTCATGGTTTGTCTCAAACAGGAAATACATGCATGACAACAGGAGAGATTGCCTGCTTTGCCTTACATTGTTTAAAGAATACTAAAATGTAAGGTAAAATTATATTCAATATACTGATGTGCTGACAAAAACATGCTGGCACTACGGTTTACTAATTACCAGAATAGTAGCTTGCATTTTAAGTCAGATTATAATAATAATTGAGATTACTCTAAAATGCCAGCAATAAATAAACACTTCCTTACAAATAGCATCCATTTTTCCCTGAAAAGTTTGTTGAAAATTCTGCTTGCATTAAAAATTGGCCACTTTTCAACAACAACATAAAAATGGATAACATTTCCATTTTTTACAGATGAGAATTTCTGCCAAATATTTTAAAGATAGGAGACTTACATGTTTTCAAAAAACAACAACAGAAAATACTCCTTAATCCACCTCCTACAATTCTAAATACTCCCAACATGTTACTAAATGTTAGCTGTCTTGATGACTCCATTATTCACATGATTGGTATAATCAGAATTAATGGGGGAGAGGCATTTTTCATAAGAAATACAAGGAAAAGAAATCTTCATTTCTATAAATAATGTTTATTTACATAATTGAGAATATGACTATTTCTCTCTACAGTGGCAACACATAATAGAAGAAAGTCTGATGAATGCTAGGATTAAGGCAAATTTATGTCATTTAGATGCTTTTGGCTTGTAACATCAATGAAGGTGGGCCTTAGAGCCTTCGATTTTAGGACACAGTAAGTACCAAGCCCACAGGTATTCTTTTAAAAGGAATGTTAGTATTTAACACTGCCATCTTAGAGATTTTGCAGCGTGCTGAGATATGTAAACTCCAGTACAGTTCTGTCTCAAATGAGAGGAATAAGGACTGGTGACAGTGTTAATTGAATGCAGGAAAGTATTCAGCAGCAGATACCACCTTGCTTGAAGACAAGACTGCTGCTGCTCATGAGTTCACAGACCTGGTGCTTCCCAGCTCTACAAAGCTGGCTGGTGTGCTTTGCTCTTTGTTGTGGTGTCTGCACATCCTGCTCCCTTTGCCCACCTTACATGATGCTGGCACAGGTGCTCAGCAGTTAAAAGCTGTGGCAGTTACACGTGAGAGGATGAGATACCACAGACGGTATGGTGAGAAGGGAGGCAGCAAGCAGAGGAATAGCAGGTGTTCACTGTGATGGTTTTAAGAGAGTGCAGCTATATTTAGTGTGTGAATAGAAATCTTTTTGCTCATTGGAGCCTAATTCTGCTGAGAAGTTTTTCCAGTGAAGAAACCAAATAATGTAAATATCAACTAATGGAAAATAGGATGCCACGTGTATTTTTAACTTCTTTCTCTTGCCATTTACACCTTAGCAATATGTCTTTTAAATAATAAATTTAATTTTTAAGAATACCCAGAATACCCAGCCAAGGCTCTTGAGCTTTCCAAACACTGAACTCTCCCTACCTTACCTATGGACAACCTGAAGTAAAAGCTCCTTGTTCTGCTCACCCAAGGTAACAGCGTACACCGCAGCCTGGCCTGCTTCCTGTGGTAGGGTCTCCTGCTAATGTCTGCATCTGTGTTTCATGTTATGCTCTGAGTCATTTGGCTGGCCTCGGTGCAAAGCAGCTAAATAAATGTTTGAAAGACTGAGACGTCTGTTGACTTTGCAAAGGCGAGGCTGCAGCCTTGCAAACCTAAATATAACTCCTGAACCCAACCTGCTCACACCTTGAACCTCCAGCCCGGGCCACCCACGGTCAAAGTGGAATTATAAGAGATATGTGGCTGCCCAAGCTATGCCCACTACGTAGTACTGATGGAAATGCTAGATTCGCTAGAGCAGTAAAAGAAATGAAGGACTGTTGTTTGTAAGAGGCACAGCTTCAGTTAATTGTGAAAAGGGGAACAAAGACCCCTTGTCAGTGTCAGTGTCAGAGCAGTCAAGCAGTTCCCTGTGTGTCACTGGGATCACTGTGACTGCCTGCGGCTCTCCCTGGTGCTGGGGTGAATGAACTGATCCTCTGAAGCAGGCAACAGAACAACACGGAAAGTGGGAACAAGTGGCAAATGATCAGGTTGCAATCCATTTGTTTGGAGCAAATATTAGACTTCAGTTTTAGTTTGCCCAGTTGTAGGTAAAACTCAGAAATAGGATGATGTTGCATCCCAATCTGTACTGAGGGCACCTTGCCCTTGTGAGTGGCACCACTGCCTTCTGGGGGCTGTGCAGAAACCAGGTGCTTACGCTTTGGGGGAACACTTACAGTCTCATTTAACTCTCAGACCAGCCCATTTTTGCTCAAATGCAGCCTTCCCCGTGTCATGGTATTCTGAGTATGGAT